CAGCTGACTGACTGCCCTGCCAGACCAAGTACCCTGAGGGGGTGCTGTCATGTCATTTTGCATGCATATTTGGTATTGGCTTGCGCAAATAGCCACTTATACATTTTGACTGGAAAGCTCTTTGCACATATACTGACTATTGTATGTATTTAAAAGTAATTGACAGATTAGGTGTGGGCAATTGAATGGCTGCATTTTTAAAAATCAGACCCCATATTATGTTGGGTATCAAGTATGCTTAATTATTTTTTAACAGGACCAGTGGATATAGAACTGTATTTTGATCTTGGTCTCTTGGTGACCAGCATAATATTTTAACCAAACACTTGATTCCTTTATTCTTGCAGAATTTGTATTGTTTTTAAGAATATTAAATTGTGTAGACATACTATGTTCGGGCTTGTGTGTGGTTTCATATTTCAGGTTTCTTAGGCTCTGGTCCTGAAAGCTGTTCTAGATGACTGGATCCCATCAGAGCCTCTTTCATTTCTTTGGGCATCCACAGGGGCTCAGGGGATTGGGTCTTACATTTGGAAATCCAGGAGTTTAAAAGGGTTCTTCTTCCAATGTTTGTGTCTGACACTTGATAGGGCACTGTTATATTTTAGAATGTACAGGGTAAATTTGCTATGCAGTGCCTTAGCAGCATGACTCCCATTAGCATTTGTCAGTTTAAGATAGCATCTGAATGAAGATGATTTTTTAATGATAATCTAGAAAATACTCAAAATAGAAAAATGTATTGTGAAGGCAATTTTATGTTGACATTAAAATGTTATTGTAAAGTCTATAAATGTCTGAGACCTCCTCCCCCTCAATGTGAAAAGTAATTTTAAAAAGCACTCTGGGTTGTTGTAATTTGGCTTCTTCCTCCCTCCTTCACCCACCAGGCTTGATATCCAAGTTAATTCCTGATGTGTTAAATCCAAATGACAATGAATTTGGTGGCCTCATCTAGTCCTGATGTCAGCACACCTCAAAACTAGCATGCAATTTTGTCATAATTACCAAAGGGAATGGTTTCTGTTCATATGTCTGTTAGCAGCTAAGAGATGCTTCAACTGATGCTATAAATGTTGATTGATGGGATCAACTCTGTTATTCTCAACATAAAATTTTATCTTAAAGTGTTTGCAGTTCACATGGATAGTACGAAAAGTAGCTTCCAATGGTACATAATCCCTTCTCACACTTCAGTAAACGCTGGATTCAGAAAAATCCTTGAGTAAGTGGCACCAGTTCATCCGAAAGGGCGACTGACATCAAGACTAAAAATCTAAATAAGACCCTCTGCCTTTGGTATCTAATAGGAAGAAGCCTCCTGAGTTTATCATAGAAATTTAGCCTAAGCCTCATTTCCCCCCTTTCCCCCACTACCCATACATTTCTTCACGTCAAAAGAGGGAAAATTATAATAAAAATGCAGGAAAGTCATAAAATGGCCAAATTCTTTCACCTTACTCCTCTGGGGGGGGTCGTTAATGGACACCGTGCTATGTTGATGGGCACAACACACATACCTATAGACCTAGCTGAGCTTTATTGTGTAGATTATAATTATCAGCTGTAAAGGAAAAACATTCTCAGAATGGCAAACACTTACTTGAAACTAATCTGTTATTGACAGAGGTGATTTTATATGGTATTTGCACACACCATTAGCTTGTGTAGTAAATCATCCTTTTGGCTAAAGAAGATAATCTTTTCTCAGAACCATTTGTCCCTATTGACAGTAAATTATCCTAAACAGTTTTTAGAATATTTAGCAATTGTTCCTTGAGTCAGAGTTCTCCATTCATTTAAAAAAAGCAGTTGTCATGCTTGATTTTTGATTTTTTTTTTCTTTTGATCTACAGGGGGAATTTCCTCAGATCAAAGTGTTTTCTAGTCTGTCACCTATCCCAGGATTCACCAAGTGGCTCATTGGACTTCTGACCTCACAAACAAAGGAACAGGGGAGAAATGAACTATTTACAGATGCAGAATGCCAAGAAATCTCTGAGATCACAGGTGACCCTGCTGCTGAAAAGCTAAAGAGGCTCTTAACTAACAACGAATGGATGAGATCGGAAAGATTGGTCAAAGCATTGCATTCACCATTTATGAGACTCTGTGCTTGGTACCTGTATGGAGAGAAACACCGTGGATATGCCCTTAATCCAGTAGCAAACTTTCACCTTCAGAATGGTGCTGTGCTGTGGCGGATAAATTGGATGGCAGACACAAGCCCCCGTGGGATCACTGCTTCATGTGGCATGATGGTAAATTATCGGTATTTCTTAGAGGACACAGCCAGTAACAGTGCAGGATACCTTGGGACAAAGCACATCAAAGCCTCAGAACAGGTTCTTTCCTTGGTGTCTCAATTTCAGCAAAATAGCAAACTTTAAATATACAAGAAGATTTTAAGAGCGAACTTTTCTCATTTGAATGAAGGGGTAGGATATCTTGGGATGTCCTTATTGGAAAGGGAATGTTTGTAATAAAACAATGAGCTCTGTTCTTAGTCACAGCAGGATGCAAAATTACATTGTCTGCCAAAATTACTATAACTTTCTTTACTTGCACTGCCAGATACTCAAAGCCTGATACAGTATGGTTAAATTATTGCCATACTTTATGTTCAAATGAGCTGGAAGTGTGTAATAAAGGCTGTGTAAACTCATCTCATTAAGGTTACAAGCCAGTGGTGACTTGTGTGGACTGTTCTCTGCTCCTGTTGTCCTTCTCAGGATCAAGATTGTTGTTTAAGCTACATCTTCAAAAGCACAGAGGAACTCCTCTGTACCCAAATAACTAGATAAAAGCAATGGGCGAAGACAATTTTTTGTTCAAATATATATAAACTGAAGAGCAATCTGCAGCATTTCTTCACTAAGGTCTTTGTCTTCTTTATTCCTGACATTTTTTGGTAAAACCTCTTGATTTGGCCATTCTTTTGCTTTTTCAAAGTACAGTACAAAGTGCCAACACTGAATCATTGCTCTGATCGAGCAACAAGATACCTTGTATTTCTGTGGCTTTTTCTCAAGACAGTAGGTATGTGCAACAGTGTATTTGCAGATTGCTATAGCTCATATTTACAGTTTAATACGTAAAAATCAGTGGCTCTAAATAAGAGAAGAAAGTCTGTTGCCTATAGGACTTAATTATGAAGATTTCGGATATATATTAAATCTCCATAAATTATATTGGACATTTTAGAAGTTGGACTTTAAGAAGCTTTTTTAATAGTAAAAAGCCAGGTTTGGTCTGTAAAGCAATAAATTAAAATAAAATAAGTCTTCCTCTATAAACGTTATATGATATCTCTCTCAAAATGTACCATATTCAGGTTACAGTCACACTAGGTGTTAGTGTCTCCAGTGAAATAAGATCACTGACTTCAGTGGATCAGATATCAGCAGATTTGGAGTGCAGAATTCTTGGCTTCTTCGATATATGCTGAAATCCTGACCAAATTCCTAAGGCTAGGTCTACACTACAGTGGGGGGTCGACCTAAGATACGCAACTTCAGCTACGTGAATAGCGTAGCTGAAGTGGCGTATTTTAGGTCGACTTACCTGGCTGTGAGGACGGCGGCAAGTCGACCGCTGACGCGCCGCCGTCGACTCCGCTACCACCTCTTGCCGCGGTGGATTTCCGGAGTCGACGGTAGAGCCATCAGGGATCGATCCGGCGGGTAGCAAAGACGTGCCCTAAGAGAATTACACAAACATTTCTATTTCCCTATGCAAGTAAAGGTGAAGGGATCCGTAAGTGTCCAGATGTACCATTTCATTCCAGGAGAAAGGACAATCAAATGAATTATTTGTGTTCACTAAACAAAAAACTTCCTACCTACTGAGTGGCCTGTTTTAAATATCTGCTAAAGAGATTAAATGTTCCCTGGCTTCAGCTGATGGCAGATTTCTCAATGTGATGATGCAGAGAGGCTGGATGCACTACACACTATTCCCTTCAGAACAAAGTCATTTTTACATAGCAGCTGGTCTTCACATTAGCAATGGCAACTAGCCTATGCCATGCTGCTTTCATTATGGTTTTTAAGAATGGTTCCAAAAGCCATCACATCTAGTCAGCAGGTATCTCTTATGTCAACAAATTAAGGCAAACCCATGGGTTTTGATCAGATACCAGTAAAAAAAAATTACTACCAGCTTCTTGTGGGGGAGGAATCTTGTATTGCCAATTTTTTTTAAGGAACATTAAGAATCTCTTTGCTCAACTTGAATTGTAGTTTTTGTGAAAATGCCAGAGGGCAATACAGTACGTGCCAAAAGATAGCTTTTTCACTGCCTCTGAATAACAAAAAGACACTGTAAAGTTTTTGAGAAGAGATCAGTAAATTCTTCAGTTTGCCTCTGCATTTCCCACTTATGGAATTAAGTACTCAAACTTCTGGAATCTCCTGGTGTAGGTAGTGTCCACTGGACACTGTCCTTTGTTTGGCCAGTGGTGGGAAAGCAGCTCAGCCTAATCAGTCAGTGGCCTAGAGTAAAGGTAAATGCCAACAGGACAAGAAAACAGTTATTTTAATTCTAAAACTGGTGCTTCACTGATGGGGTGAGGACTGGGGTACTGGTTTTTTCTAATAATACCTGAGAGCAGACAGACCCCACTGTGTACCAACTCAACGGGTGAGAGTAAACGGTGGGCTTGTGTACACATGAAGGTTAATGTGGAATAAGGTTGGGTGTGAATTTAAAGTGGATTACCTATCCCTGCTTAACTCCATTTGTGGAAATTTTTATTCCATAATAACAGTGCCTTATTCCAAATTAGCTTAATCTACTTTAAACTAATTTGGCATAAGGCACTCTTCTTTTGGATTAAGAGGGTCCACAGGAAGAGCTATTCTGGAATAACTCCTCATGTGGACAAGCCCGTTGTGGTGGTTGGGACTGCACTTGCCTTTAAGCTCTCAGTTGAGGGATCACAGGCATGCAGGGCACATGTGTGGCCCCAATGGACACTGCCAGCTAAAAGACCATGAGAGGGATCCACATGGAAAAAGCATATCAAACCAGAGTTACTGTTAAGAGTGACCTGCTGTTCCCTAGATTTTTCAGACCTACTCAGCACCCATTAAAATCAATGGGAGCTGCTGGGTACTCAGCATGTCTGAAAAACCTAGTCACTTATTTATATGGCTTAAAAAAAAAAGCAGTTGGGTACTGAACTCTTTTGAAAATTTGACACCCCCACCTACTGAAATCAGTGGGAGTTGAGGCTTCCGCACCTTACTCCAAAAGGCATTATAAACAGGGGCTTAATCCTGCTGTTATTGAAGACCATGACAGGTGCAGGGCTGGGACTTCACACGATAAAAGTAGTCCCTCTGGAACCCATTAATATCAGGTATGAATGACAACACATGTACTTCTTGATGTATTTTCACAATGCAAAGTGCACTCAGTCCTTTCCAGTCCGTCATTGCTTCAGCTTGTCTAAATTGCCTGTCGATGGCTCTTGGAGTAAATTTCAGCATTTGCTATGTATAAAATGTCAGTTTTGCCTAAAGGGAGGATATTATCCATGTTTAAAGACTCTCAAGGACTTAAGAGTTTAAAAATCTGCTAAATGAATTCAGCCAGACCTTGCACTGGAGTGGCACTCATTAGTGTTGCCATAGTGAATAGTCAGTTGCTCCTTCGGTGTTAGTACCCCAGTTTTCTAGGGGTTCTAGCAGGATCATTTTGAACTTTAATCCTTCTGAAACTTGGTGTGCAAGTTCTCAGCCTGAAACAGATTTTTTTTTATTTCAAAAATAACCTCATTTTTAGACTTAGAGCAAAAATGGGGGTTTAAATATTTTCTCTAAGGAAAAACAGCTTAAATTTAAGAACCTGAAATTTTTCAAGCATGTATTCCCAAGAGGCACTTATTGATCTGAAGTTACACTGGCTAAGATGAAGAATTATGAGTATTTATAAAGGATAGTGCCAGGGAATAAGCTGATCACTTACTGGGATGAGGAAGATATCTCCCTTTCCAAATAGGTGCACTGTAGAAGTTTTATGAAAAGTCCCCTTGATTTGACAATAGTTTTGATACCAGACTAGATGGATGAATGATCTGACCTGGTATGACTTTTATTGTCTTCATGCTATGTGTAGACCGGTGCCTTTTAAAATTAAAGACCAAGCAAACAAAAACTGTGTCATTTTCTGTTTTTCTATAACAACATGACAAAAAAGACCCATTTTAAATAAGGATCTGATTTTCAATGGTGCTTTCCTAGCACCTGCACCTGCAGTTGCAACTGATGTAATAAAACACCATTGCAAGTACAGGCATTAATATCTATAATACCTGCCCATATGGCCAGTAGTGGTAGGAAAGTGCCCTTGAAAGTACCTGCAAGCTCATGGTTGCCCACCAGGATCTAAATATCAGGTCTAAAGTTGTAGCATAAAATTGTGACCAGAGTAAGGAAAAGATGAGCAAAGAGTACCTTCCCATTTCTGTGCTTTCCCTATTATTTCTGCAGCCTGTTTTGTGTGTAACATCATTAAATATTATCTTTACATGGAGCCCTGAGGGGGAACATGTGTAGATAACAGTTGTGTGGGTGCTGAACTTTCAATAGCTGCTGTCAAAAGAGTGCTTAGTCTGATACCCTGACAGCCAGATAGTCACTTAAGAAAACCTCATTTTCGGCAAACACATTACTGCAGGACATGACATTTTTGTTTTCAACAGAGATCAGAAGCTAGGTGTATTTATTTTTCCCTTCTCCAAAGTTTAGAAAGTACAATTTAATCAGTATACTCCTGGTTTTAAGATGAAATTCAGTTTTGTGTATGAATAAATACAGCTGTTTGTGAAGGAAAAACCCTATATTTGTTCTCTAAAATGCCTCCGGTTTGAGGAAGTCAAATAAGAGACTTCTATTAAAGACAACAGAGATTTTTGAGTGATGCAACAGGCTGATCTAAATCAGGCTCATAACGTGTGGATTCTCACACCTAGACAGAGTTTAAATGCCTCCATGGTCTGTTTGTTGGGAGATTATAAGCAAAGATTTTTAGCATCACATTGGAGGTGCATTATATGGATGTATTTTCTATATGACATCCGTTCTCCACAAGCCCTCAAGCACCTGCAAAAGTATTTCACTTCTTCAGTTCGCTTTTTGGTTCACTTCATCTGTTACCCCAGTAATCTAACAAATTAGGCTAAATATTCTATCATTTAATTGTGCATCAGAAATGTAGTTCAATTTTAAAAAACCTTTGCGAAAGGATTGTTGAGGGTGAAGTCTTTGCTCATTATTGGCTGTTTATTCCCACGAGTTTTCTTTCATTGGTTGTTGGCCTTAAAATGACCATCAGTGCTTGGACTGTCCAGCTTGCCCATAAAGTGAACAATGCTGAAAGTGGAAAGGAAATGCTCACTACATGTACTATTTACTGGGGCAATGGACATGTCATTGGAGGGGTTTTACTCCATTCTTTTGAAATGCAGCTTCATTGCTCAAAATGCAGGGATAATGCCTCCCCTCGCCCAGTTTGCAGAGTTGGTGAAGCCTATTCTGAAGAGCACGCACATAACGAAGAGGAGCTGGTAATAGTGTATAACACAGCAAAACTTGAGTCTTCTTCCAGTGTTTGTCTGACACTGAGCAGGGCACAGTTCTATTTTAGAATGTACAAGGTAAATTTGCAGTACAGCGCCTCAGCAGGATGACTCCCATGTGCTTTTGTCCGTTTCAGCTAGCTGCTGAACGATGATGCTTTTTTAATGATAATCTAGAAAATATTCAAAATAGAAAAATGTGTTATGTAGCCATCATAAAGGCAATTTTCTGTTGACATTAAAATGCTCTTGTAAAATCTATAAACGACTGAGACCTCCATATGAACAGTATTTAACACTCTCTGGCTGCTTTCTCCTTCTTTGGGCCCAAGCTGAGGAGTTTTCATGTGCTGTCCTTTTCTGATAGCCTTTTGTCATTAAATCTTCGGCCCAATGAGAGTTTTATAAACACATGCTGAACCCTCGGCCACAATACCATCTAGAGAATAACACCAAGGCACCATAGGGCTAAATTCAATTAGTTGGTAGTGTAGTCTCTACACACTCAATCCATGGCTTCTCTGTGAAGGGGCCAGATCCTGTTGTCTAGCCAGGGCCAGAGAAAGGCATATGTGGGTAGAGGAAGGGCAGAAAGGGAGAAGCAAAGTAGCATTAGTCTGTTATTTCCTCAAATTCTGGCACCAGGCTATTCCCAAGTGGAAATCAGAGCAGACTTCAGGCAGCTGGGCATTAGTTGAAGCCTGCAGCCTATCCCCTGGCCCAAAGGCCCATAGTTGCAGAACAGCATTCTGGCCTTGTCCTTTATACCACTATACCAGGGGTCGGCAACGTTCGGCACGCGGCTCGCCAGCCTAAGCACCCTGGCGGGCCGGGCCAGTTTATTTACCTGC